CGTCGAGACATGTTTTCATCGCTTGCCGACGAATGTGAAATTCTTGTTTTTGGCCTTCCATTAACGTTCACAGGCACACACTACCAAGCTGCCAAAGCCCTCTTATCGTTCCTTGGCTTTGGTCAAGGTTGTGATTGTCCTTCCATCTACGCCTGTCGGGAGTGGATTTCGGCCACTCGCCAAGACACTCAAACTCAATTGCCTCCTCGTAACTCGGCTACCATAGCTACCCACTCCTCAGCACCTCAAATTAACAATTCAAATCGGTCAAATACTTCCGCATTTGTATTTCAACTTGGCAGCCCACTGCTGCGAGACAAAGTGGTCAAGTCTTCTTCAAAGTTGAAAGACAAGACGTCTCTGGATGTCTTTGGTTGTGGGTGGCAGTTCGCCAGTTTACATCCGTCCGCTCTGGCCTAAGCCTGTATTTGATTTATTCTCGTTAGCCCTCTCTTTTAGCAACAAGCACAACCTTGGTCGCCCAGTAGTCGTGAATCTTCGTGTATGCATGCGGAAGAATCGTCGTGCTACGCCCATCCCAATCTTGTCTTCCGATGATTTTCCACGATTCCTCCCATCTCGTACCTCAAATTCTGGAGTAAATCGCACTTCTTCTGCTGCTCCACTTCAACATCTACCTGAAGCCTCCCTGGCTAACCCACTACAGCAGACGAGTAATGAACCATCTGATACTATGTCTTCATGACAGTCTGAACTCAAACCGGCTCCACGCGTACAACATCACCTTTCCATCGGTCACATTAACATTAATCGTTTGGACTCATTCACTCACTTTTCCTTACTACAAGCTAAATGTTCCTCCACGTACTTCGACATCATTGCGATAACCGAAACCTTTCTACAACCTGATTTCCCCGATACTCATCTAGCCATCGAGGGTTTCAAATTTTTCCGCCTCGATCGTGTCGGCAAAGAAGGCGGCGGGGGTTGCGATATATATGCGAAATCATTTCAGCGTCAATATTCTTGTCACTTCGGACTCCACAGTATGATAACACTCCTGAATTTATCCTCTGTGAAATAAAGTATGCCAATTATAAACTGCTATTTGCCGTCCTTTACCGACCTCCCCATGCTCATGCTCCTTTTCACTTTTTCAATTGTTTTATCTGCCTATCTTCCTCATTTCCAAAACGTTTTAATCACTGGCGACTTTAATGCGGACTTATCATCTTCCTCCCTTTCTGATACTTGTACACTCCGCACTCTGATTGCAAACAGCGGACTAAGTGTAGTCTCTCTTGAACCTACTCACCATATCATTGACAAGTCTCCTCCCTCCCACACCACGCTTGATCTTTTTATTACCAATGACATAAGCAAGGTCGTACGGTTCTCACAATCGCATGCGCCCTTTATCGCGGGGCCAATGACTTCATTGAGTTACACCTTGCTTACGCTCGTGCTGAACACTTCAAGAAAACATTTGCACACGACAACTTTCCTCCATAAATACTGAAATTCTGTTAGGTACCATGCATGAGAGTTTCAACTCCCTTCCTATACCCTCTACCAACGCCTGTCATCCCCTATCTCCATCTTTAGACTACGTTGACAATCTTCAACGCTTGATTACAAAGAACATCTCCTCGTCTTTTGACCTTGTTTCTCCTCTTCGCACTATTGCTTTATCATCCAAGCTTAAGCCATGGGTCTCCCCCCAAATCCGCTCCCTCATGCGTAAACGTGACTGTTGCATATAGCATCGCAAAATCCACGCAACATCCCACTGATGTTCGTATTTATAAATCGCTTCGCTCGAAAGTCTCTAACGACTTATCTGTTGCAAAAAACTCTTTTATAAAATCTAGAATTGATTCTGCTGCTGATTCTAAATCTAAGTGGCGTGAATTAAATGCCCTTGGAGTGAGCAAACCCTCCCATCCCTCTCCTCTTCTTTTCTTCGATGCCGATGCCCTTAATCGGCATTATGCGTCTGTTGCCAATAAAACTACCTCCTATCACCCCGGATGAGTTTCAAGCCATCCTATCTGAACCCCCTCCTCATACTTTTAACCTTCCCATGTTTTCTCTGTGTACCTTCTCCGTCAAGGAAGTTGAGAATGCGCTCTTTAATAGCGTGTCTCCTGGCCAAGGACTGGACGGTATCTCGTCCAAAATGCTTAAACTTGTTGCACCTGTAATTGCACCGTATGTTACTTCACTTTTTAACAAGTCCATCACTTCTGGTTCCTTTCCCTCCGATTGGAAACGCACCCTCATCTGTCCCCTCTCAAAGGTATGCAACCCCCTATCTCCTTCTGATACTCGTCCGATCGCCAAAATTTGTGAATTGTGCAAGATATTTGAACGTCTTGTACATGCACAACTCTCTCACCACCTTGAATCCCATAATATTTTGTCCCCTCGTCAATCTGGTTTTCGTCGTGGTCACAGCACCGAAACTGCTCTCCTTACAGTTGTTGATGATATTCGTCACGCCATTGACAAGCGCAAACTAACCATTATGGTTATGTTTGACTACTCCAAAGCGTTTGATTCCATATCACATACCATTTTGATCAGGAAGCTGCGCTTCATAAATGCCAGTGACGTTACACTTAAGTGGTTTTTCAGCTATCTCGCTAATAGACTTCAGGCTGTAGTGGATGCTGGTGGAAAAGTTTCGGAGTGGCTGCGCACTGCTACCGGTGTGCCGCAAGGCAGCGTCCTTGGTCCCCTTCTTTTCGCCATTTTCATTAACGACCTCCCCCGTGTCCTCCGTTATGCAAATTATATGTTGTACGCGGATGATCTTCAAATTTACGCGCACTGTGACTACAACAATCTTGCCGAAGGGATTGCGCAAGTTCAGTACGATGCGGATGAGGTTATCCAATGGGCTCTCTCAAACGGCCTATCCATTAATCCCTCTAAAACTCAAGTCATTATCTTTGGCAGTGAACTCTATATCTCGCGCATCGACTTCATTGATCTCTCACGTATCTCCGTGCTTGGTACCTCCATTCCCTACTCCAGGACTATCAAAAATCTTGGTGTCACGTTAGCCAGTACCCTTGACTGGAAGTTCCATGCCGCGACCACCGTTCGCAGAGTCTACTCTTCCCTTCACTCACTCAAGCACTACAAACGCTCCTTGCATCTGCCCCTCCGTAAACAACTTATTGAGTCCCTTGTTTTTCCCCACTTCGAGTATTGTTCAACTCTCCTGCTGGACCTTGATAAAACTCGGATCTCTGAACTCCAAATCGCCCAAAATGCCTGTACCCGCTTCGTAGTCGGTCATATCCCTTTTATTCCTACAAACAGTATATTCTCTCATGTCACCTACCACAGGCTTCAACTAAAATGGCTTTCATTAGCAGACAAGCGACTTCTAGCTCTTGGTACTCTTGCGTACAAAGCTATTTCCCATAAAACTCCTTCTCAGCTCCTGAATCATTTCTCAGACCCATTTTGTGTCACGTTCTCAAATAGGTCAAAACGGAATCCTCCTTCCTGTCTTAACTACGGTGCTCCCCGCACCCAGGCTTGGAACAACTCTTTTACCATCAGTGCCTCTCGCTTACTAAATCGTCTCAGTGTAACAGATTTTTCTTCCGATCGCCTAACTGAATTTAAAAATTGGTTTCGCTCACTTTTGTTCACGCTCGAAATCTCTGCTTGGAGTACTTTTGCTCGTTTCGAAAATTTTGTCCCACTTGAAGCCCTCTACCACCTTCCTGCTCCCATACTACCTTTCCACGCCTCGCAATTTACTACCTCCAATCTCCACCTGGAAGTCCGTGGTCGCTATCTCGATATCTACTTGCTTCATCCCTCCCAACTCCCAGCAGTTATGCTCGCAAGGCTATAATCCTTACTTGTGGTCTGTCTCATGAGGCGTTGTCATACTGTTGATCCATATTTTATTAGTTTTAAGTTGTGTATAGTCTTTAATTGATCGCGCAAATTGTTAAGTTTAATTTCTCACTGTTATTACTACTTTAATCCTATACGGGATATCTTGTCCCTGTATACCTGCATATCGCCTACATACGGTTAATGGTTGCATGTTAAATTGTCTGCAACCCTTGATAAACTTTTGTATTTTTCTTTGTAGCCAGACGGGGTACTACCCCAAGGCAAATAAACGAACTCACTCTCTCTCTCTCTCTCTCTCTCTCTCTCTCTCTCTCTCTCTCTCTCGCTACGCCAGCGCAGCGAAATAAATAGCCGTAACGTAAGGACGTCGGAGATAACGAGGCGCTGCATTCTGCCGCTTTCGGAGTGGAATCTCGGGGAGAAGGAGCCAACTCGTGCTCCCCGGACGCGACTCCGATCCGAGCTTCCGGCCGAACGGATCCCCCTTGAAACTCGATTCGACGTTAACGGCACTTCGCGGCCGTGAGTTGCGACACGCGAGCGTCTCAATTAATCATGAAGAAAGCTCGGGCAAAAGGCGCCGCCTGATGAATTTTTTATTATCATTGCGATTTAAGAGCCGCGTAAATTCCGACTTGTCGGCCGCGCGCACGCGCGCGCGCGCACTCAATTACACGCGAAAACAAGTAACGACAGTTCTCGAGCTGAGAGTTATGGCGTCGCTAATTCGCGTGCAGCTTTACGTGCCTCTCCTTTCGCGTTCGCTACGCCGATAAAATAGCAAATTACAAAAGTACTCATCCTCCGCGGCGGACACTCGAGGAATTCGCGAAAGAAAAGGATGCAACATAACTCTGCTCGCGCGACTTTCTCGCGCCTCAATAAAGCGAAAAGAAAAAAATGAACGAACGACAAGGGAAGAGACGCATTAAAAAAAAAAAAAGCGCGAAACGCTTGCGTTCGTTGCAATCTGGTTTACTGCTCTTGACGAGCCGGATGTTGATTGATCAACGGCCATTGTCTTAGTCGCAAATATAGTTGTGCATAGTAAAAAAAAGGTCGATCGCGCGCGTGGATAAATCATAGTAATTTGCCGTGCAACAAACACAATGGAGAGATAACGTGAGAGCTTTGTTTCTCGTGATTGCAGAGTGCCAAAAGTGGCTCGAGCAGCTACTACATGAGCGGCAGCAGCACGTTGCCGAGGGGCGGTGCCCTGCTTCGCCCTTACAGTCCAGCCACAGGAGTGTTGCCGGGACCCAATGTAACCGCTGGCCCACCGAAAGCACTCGGCACACCAGGTAAGTCGATTTCTTCGGTAGTGTATCTTGGTAGTGTTGTAGTATGCGCGAAAGTAGTGTTTTTGCACGAGAAAAAAAGAAGAAAATAACGACCAAAAGAACGTAGAAGAAAGCGCTTATTGTCCACGCATAAAAGAAATTGTCCACACATGTGTAAAAGAAAAAGAAGATTGACAAGGGAGATCGTAGATAATGTGTAAACGACAGTGTGCTGGGGGGTGTGATGATGACGAAAAATATAGGTACAGGTGCGCCTCCGGCCAAGCCGCTGAGAAACTACCATTGCAAGGCGCCGCCCCTTGGCAGTCTCGGCAGCTCGAGAAGCTACTCGCGCGACAGCACCGTCTCGCTTTATAGCATACCAGGTCAGTCTCAACGTTTCTCGTGTGTCAGTGTGAACAAGCCCGAAATGACGATTCTCCACGACTTTTTTTACGAATTCAGTTATACATGTATAATCCTGCCGCTGCTGTTCTTTTTTCTTTCCACATCGACCCTTCCATCCTCATCGTCGTGGCACACTTTTTGCTACTTCTTTTCCTCTTTCTCTCTCTCTCTCTCTCTCTCTCTCTTTCTCTCTCTAGCTCTCTCGAGACTGTCCTATTTTTTCATTTGGCATTTTCATTCCACATACCATGCTTTTTCTTTATTCGACCATCATTAAAAGCTATTGGCTTTGGGATAAGGGAAGAAGCTCATCAGAACTGATTCTAATTCTCTCGGATTAGAGAACGAGAGAGAGAAGGGCCTCTCGAAACGAATGATATTTCTCAGATAAGGCTCATCGCGCGAGAGCCAAGCGTAATTGAAACAATTAACTGTTAATGGAGATAGAGAAATAACAGGATTTCCTCAGGTAATTATCGTTGGAAATTAAGTTGCAAACATTACTCTTCACTGAAAGATTTGCAAGTGTTCAACTCGTAATCGAAACAACGTCGATTTATAAATGTGTGTGTGTGTGCATGTAAGCATATATGCGCTTAAACGTACGTAAAGTAGGTGATCGGAAGCGATCGAAGCTTATGTATTATCGACGTATATTATGTGGCTTTTTGTTCGAGATATACCGTGCGCATCTACCGCACGCACGCAACACATACTGAAACTGCGGGCATCAGTGAGTACAACTAGAGATACAATTAATTTATCAATACAGTCCTGTTCGAGCGCATTCACATGCACCGCGACATTAATTCGAATATTCTGCGAACTGATTAATGATGGTCTTGCGCAGGCAAATTTTGCTGTAGCATGCTTTGCACAGATAATGCCAATTGATATGTAGATATGATACAGGTGGCTGGGGTAAGGCGCAGATACAACACAGCGGAATAACCAACATTTCCTTTCGCTATAATCCTATGATTTTTCAATCGGCACTTTGATGCATACTAATTCGCACGATGTTTTTATTTCTCATTAGAATGAAAAACAAAAATACGATTGATAATACCGTCGCCTCGTGCCGGAGAAATGTCGTAATAATTAATTTTGTGAATTAATTTTGACAAAGTGCGCAATGAAGCATGTTCAACAAATCCATTACACTTGTATGCATTTATACCGACGTATGTCAGTAAAATAATTTACCAACTTATTGGTCATTGAAAGTATTCGTAATTAACTCGATTCGTGTTCTTTTTTGTTGGCGCGCACTCCGGTCTGGTTTTAAAACCGACCGTACAAATCCGAAAGAGAGAGAGAGAGATATCAATTAGTACGTACGTCTAGACGGGACTAGCCTAGTGCAGACGCGAGAGTTTAACGCACTTTTATTTTTTACAACATTGTTTTTTACGTCCGTCATATATGCACGAGACGCGCGCGAAAATTCGCTTAGAGTTGCCGTGAATGTTTTCACGCCCGCCGAAGCGCGAGTAAACGGCAGCGACGACATTTCACCGGGCACGGCGCGAGATAAATGATAAATCAGTTGGAAAAGGACGAGAGCAAATGAAAACCGAGAATGACATGTGTGACTAGATCGACTGCACGGTGAGAGCGGCTACATGAGCAGCCCCGAGCGTGGCGGACCCGGTGGCGTCGTACCGGTAGGCGGCAGCGCCGCGAGCAACGGCCCTGGATCCACAACGGGCAGCAGGTATCCACCTGGCCCTTACAGCGCCGGCAGCAGCTACGAGGATCCGTATTACTCGCAATACTCTGGTACCGTCACGCCTGTCATCGACGAGGAAGCCAGGTGAGAATACATCGAATTCAATCGACACGGGCCTTTTATTTTCGTCTTTCGGGCTTCCTTTCTGTACATTTCCTTGAAAGAACAGAATCGATCAGTGTCTAAAGCGTCACACGCCAAGCTTCGCGACGACAAATAGCGTAAAGAGTCGTTACTTTTGTTGTTTTTTTATACGCATAAGCTCAGTCAAAGAGAACAAGGTTCAAATGTTGATATCTATATATACACGCCACACACAGCGATACGGAGCTGTTGGAGGAATCGTACAGTCTGTACGGGGTGAAACCGGCGGGGCGACCGCCATCGGGCCCACCTCGCTCCCCATTTGGGGCAGCGCCGCCCGGCGCCCCGCCGTCCACACTATTACCCACCGGACAGCCCTACGACGCCACCCGGTATATCTATCTATATCATCAGACTCAATCTCTCTCTCACTATACTTCGCTGCTGCGTTCTTTTTCGTTGCTATATTGTTCGTGCATTGCTTATCTGTATAGTCAAGCTTTTTTTCCTTTGCTTTCGTTCATAGAAGCACCCGCTTGCATTTTTACAATTGCCTGCACTCTCATCTCATTTTTTTTCCTTGTCAACAGCCCAAACGACCCTAGTCTCTTAGATTTTCATTCTTATTTCCGTGAAAGTTTACGTTCATACGAGTGCGTTCATAATGGGATCTGCGTTTTTTCGCGAGACTGTATTGAAACAGATATACTCTTTTGATGTGGATGTCTTTGAGAAAGTTTTACTTTTTCTAACGCGTTTTTCCGGTTGTTTCGGGACACCAACATTGACAAATGACACTTTACAATCAACTCGTTTATTTATTTATTTTATTTTATTTCTTCTTTTGCGCATTTCAAATTAAGAGAAAAGCTACTTGTCGAATCTCGTTTCAAAACAAAAAATAAGCTTTATATGCTTGTCAGATCGATAAGATTTCTCATTGTGATTTTCGCGCAGTGCTAACGAGTTTTAAGATTAATCTCGAAACAAGCCGTGACGAATATTCGCAAATGTCTGTTTATTCCATTTCATTGTACCGATCGAATTTTTCTCCTTAGCGGTAGGATCAAATAAAATTCGTTAGTGAAAACAGAGTGATTTCCGAGTACACTTTTTTAAATTCCCATTTAAAACGCACGACTTAATTAATGCGGCGCCGAAACTTTCAAATTCAGCGGTAAACGGCCAGGTAACAATATCCGGCAACAAAACACACGCATAAGAAACTGGGTTTGTAGCGGCTCGTGTGCATCCGACGCTTCTCATTCGCGGGAGAAAAAGTAACTGGGCACCGAAGAAAAAGCAGTAAAATAGCGAACGCAACGTGTTTATCTGGCGCGCGACTCGCTCAAAGTAAGCGCGTCAATGAGAGCGCAATTAGCCGCAAAAAAAAAAAAGAAAAAAAAGAAAAAAAGAAAGAAAAAGGAGAGGCTCAATCCGCGAGCACACAGCGCTTGTCGAAGAACCAGTCGCGCGGTAGGAGAGCATTTGACGAATGCGTGTCTCACGACTAAACTTGGCAGCTTAATTATGATCGCGATTGCCGAAGTGAATTCTCTCCCTGTCTCGCCGACCCTACAGCGACATTCTTCTCGATTATATGTCCTTGCTCGTTCGCGCGTTGTGAAACATGTCGAACATTTCAGCTATTTCGCCATTCGGATCTATCTCTCGTGCCCGCGCGCACCTCGCTATCTTATATCCGGCGAACGCGCACGCGCGATTAAAAATCGATCTACTTCGATTTTTAACTTGAATTCGATAATCAAGTGCCCCTACATAACGACGCTATAAAACGCTCGGCCAGTGACAAAGCGAGCGGTGTCGCAACGCGTCCACGCAGGATACACGCGGGCTTTCGTTAAGGAAGGAAGAAAAAACGAAGTATAATTCGTTCGATCGGCGGCATATCGAAAATCGATTGCGAGAGGGAGCGAGACAAACAAAGAAGGCGTAGAAAAAGAGAAAAATTGCGGATCGGCTCTCTCTCTCTCTCTCTCTCTCTCTCTCTCTCTCTCTCTCTCTCTCTGTATAAGGTGGAGAATATCCGCTGAAGGCAAAGCCACTTTACCGCTGTCGCGCGATCGTTGCAAACACGCGCGCGCGCTGCTCGAATTAAAGACTCGCCGATTCTCGTACTTAACGGCGAGTTTGCGTAACGCGCACGCGCGCGCGCGCGCTACATTCTAAAATTTTGTTTTCCTACGATTGAATAATAATCTGGTCGATCTGTGCAATCGTTAGGCAATTGACGATTCTGTAATGACGCGCGTGTGCGCGCGCGGGAAGAATGCACGCGCACGCGGAAGCGTGGATCGAAGCGCCTTGGGACGCGGAGTACGAGTGTACAAGCATAATCGTATCGCTAATGCGCATCGCGAGCCGATAGAACTGCGAGGAGAGCTCGTAAGCATGCTTCGCTCTCGAGTGGCCGCATTTTGACCTTTTGTTTGCTCAACTCAAGGAATCCTCTTGTTACATCTATCTTAGACACGCCCCGCGACTATACACTCTCGACAGTATCACTCTTGTGTTTTCCCATGTGTGCTTTCTGTACGGCAATCCATTATATGCGGTTCTAGACTGCTTTACGCCGAGTATGATATGTGTATGCATACCAAGTAGACTATATGTATGTGCGAGACCAGAAGCCACGCAGATCTGCTGCACATATATATATATAGTTTCTCCAAAATATGTGACTGAAAATCGAAAGCAAGGACGGCGCATACGTTTCTGGAGATCAAGCGATCGTTATTATTATCTAACGTAGTGAACGCAATCTGTTAGCAAGACTGCGTAGTAGAAGAAGGCTCGCGATAAGCGGGGAGAAAAATAATGGGAGAAGGAAAAAGGAGATAAATGGAGCGAGGAAGAAGCTTTAAAAACTAATGGAATTTTTGCGTGTCTGTTTTTAACGCAGAATAAGAGTGGAGCACATGGAAAGACAGCTGGCCAATCTGACGGGGCTCGTGCAGAAAGCACTCACCCAGGCGCCACACCCCAGCCCATCGCCGAGGGACTATCTTCAGGTTCCTTCTTATTCCCGGAGCGCAGGTACGCAGGATCGAGTCCTCTTGTTCGTTTTCTTGTTCGCCTTAGCCCTGTCCCCTCCCCGCGTGGACGCTCTCTCATCTTGCAGGCTCAAACTGTAGTGCCTCGTACGAAATCGACCTTTTTTTTTCTTTTTCTTGCTGTTTTTGCTCTAGCTTCTTGTTTCTTTCACTTCTCAAGCAGGCGAGCGGGAGAACTGGGTCAACCAGATGAAAGTTTTATTCGGGAAAACGTGCGCAATTGATTGACGGGAAAAAAATAAATTACTGCAAAATCTTTTTTTTTTTCTTTTTTTGTTTTCTTGGAACAGATTGTGCGCGGGAATATAGCAATAATGTCCAGACCTTTCGATCTGGCGAATAACATTGAAAGAACATGGTGAGGAATTGACATTGGTATATTTCATAGCTCAGAATTTTAACGAACCAGTTACGTCTTTCTAGATTGAAAATACGAGACGTTACGCGGTAAAGTATACTTCGTTCTACGGGATACATTAAATGCGAACGTTAATTAAAATTTTCTTCTTCGCTGTACAGCACTCGTCACGTTCGTCTAGGCACGAAACCAGCAAGAAAATGCATGTTAAAATTTAATTAAAACGAGACAATGCTCGTTTGCGCGGATATCATAAGTTCGGAGTTGCGCGTGCGTGCAGTGAGAATAATACGTGGATATGCATTCTACTACTGACATAATGGCTGAGATACAAATGGAATAAAATGTATCCCTCTTTTCCAACTCGATAGTTAGGTCGTTTATCAAAAGTTCGCGTCTGCAGTTACTATTGGGTGAGAGATTTGTATGTGTGCTACCGCGCGCAGGAACAAATGTATACTGTACATGTAGGTCATGATCCAGAGCAAAACTTTAGCGATCAAACTCGTCCACACCCGCGACAAGAAATTGGCAATGAAAGTGCTAATTAAAAGTTAGGTAGCTCGTGAATCTCCGAGCGAGGGTAAAAATGCCAAAGTTTTTCGATGAATATCAAGTGTGACATTCGCTCGAGGTAAAAATCTCCGTTCTCTCGCGGCTAAATTCAATTAGCCGCGCTACGAATCGATAAAAAAAATGTAATTGCTCGCTTGCCCAACGAGCGGAGAAAAAGAAGGCGCTGTCGATTTGACCCGTGGTGTACTTTCGACATTGATTCCTCGGAATTATGACTCGCCTCGGCGTTCGCCAATTTTCTCGCCGGATCCCCCAGGTCGTTGGAACGCGAGCGCGGCAGAGAGACCGATCGCGTAAAAAGGAACGCCAATAAAGAACAAACATTTGGGACGATTTGCGTAGGAGACGAGTTCGACAGGCATTCTAGCTCCAGTTCAGCTTCGCTTTCGCCCGCACCGCCGCCGCCGCCTCCGCCAACTTCCGCGCCACCACCAGGTCTGTCTGTCTGTCTGTCTCTTCTCTCTCTCTCTCTCTCTCTCTCTCTCTCTCTCTCTCTCTCTTGTATCTCGTTGTCTTTCCCTCTGTGTATTTCTCTTTTCTCATACTGTAAATTTATACACCCGTTCCCGTTCTCTTTTCTTTCGTTACCCACGTCCTTCGGGTGAAAACGCGCTATGTACAGATTTGTACACGAGGACACCGTCGCTGTCCGATTACCGGACGATGCGCATCTCCTCGCGCGCTTTCGTTCTCTCTATCTATCTTTTTTTGTGCGGTTTAACCACTGGTAAATTTGCTTTTTAACGCGATCGCACTTACTGTCGAGTAACGAACGGAGACGTCTGTGCATATAAATCACTCAACCCTCTGCCCCTCGCAGCATATTATTTATCTGCGCTCACTGTATGATATTGTATTATACAGAAACATATAATGTATAAACTGCGTACGTTGATATACTACGATAGCCCTGTTTTCCACTCTCTCTTTGTACAGTGTATGAGGTGCAAATAACCGAGTTCTGATTGTGATGATATCTATTTTTGCGTGTGTACGCTTGTTTGTCTGTGTGTTCAACTTGATGCTGTGCGATTAAAAACGAAATTCGAACTCTGTACGTTTCAGATGACACCTATTTAAGGAGCGACGTTAAGCCACCGAAGCTCGGCAAAGGTGCGCGACTTTTTTTCACTCAGTCTCATTTTTTCCTTTTTCTCTTTCTCTATTCGTGTCTTTTACGTATGATCATTGTCTATTTACTATTACCTTTGGTCTCTTTTCCTCTCTGTATGTGTCTGTGTTTATTTCGTTAATAGTGTATATGTGTTTGTTGTCTTTTGCGTGTCATGCCTATATGTTTTTTAATGTCTGCTATTTTAACTTCTCTTTATTGTATTATTGCCCACCACGTACTTTGAGCGCCTCGCTTGAAACTGCTAAAAAATATGGCATACGATTTTGGCATGCGCATCAGTTTCAGGCGATTTTTTCCAACGCAACTGAATCTGATTGTATCGCGCGTGGAGATATCACACGGAGTTGGTCAACTGACAAAACATAGACAACGGGGCTTTTAATATCAACTCCCGCGTGGGCACGATAAAGTTTTACTCTGTCTCTCGACGACGCATACGAGCGCGCCGATTACATACTATAAGCCGCCACGGTTTGTCGAGAATGGGTTGAAAATGTATCAAGCGATAGAATGACTGCGTGCAAACAGATTCAGTTGGTAAACAATCGTCGGCGCGCGATGCGCTTCAATCGAACGCCGAAGTGACCTAAACGCCTCGCAATAAGCTGTCGTGTAAATCTTGACTAATTGTTGTAAAGCGCTTGAGGATAGATTCCTTTTGTATTTGTGCTCTGGTGTTGATTCAGCGCAAGCTATTGTATTGTAATTTGATCGGTCTCATTGTGCGCGTGCGCCTGTTGCACTAAATAGAAAAGGAATAGCGCAATAAAAAGCAAACTTAACCGACTCTTTCAGCATGAACTTAACATTCTACTTGCGTTGCGCGTGCGAGAAAAGCTTCGCCGCTTTTCCTCTGCACGAGCCGCGACAACCTATCAGAGCTCTAACGAATGACTGTGCGTGCAAAACGGTGTGTGCATAAGTAATACTAAGCGTCACAGTAAGCGAAAAGGTGAAACCTAATGTATTGCTTTCGCAAGCATGAGTTTGTTTTTGCAAGTACGTATGAAGAAAACGTACGTGCGTATGTTTGTTATTTTCGTCCGTATATATAGGTACACAATAATTATTACAACTATCTGCATATATCTATGTGTGTCCGTTGTTGATAGAACGTACGAAGGCGCATTGGTGCTGACAGTAGCTAATATGAAACTGTGCAATTTTACAGACAAGTCGGTGTCCTTCGAGAAGTCAGTGTCGTTCAGCGACGAGCCGCCGGATATGAATTCGCCCAAGCAACACTCACCCCAGCATACAGGTACAACCATCGAATCGCTGCCTACGTCCTTCCCTTTTCAACAGAGCTACAATAATATTTTTTTACAAAACTGTGTTTCCACCTTATCTTTATTTCTTTTATTTTAACTGCCAGCTCTCAAGCATTTACGATCTCTGTTATTATTAACGGACATGGTTATATTTTCCCTTCTGAGCCTTAAACTTTATCGTTTATTGTTTTTGTTTCTTTGTTTTCCAATAACTTACATACTAAGCGATACTTAGCTGTTTAATATTTGGTTGAAACGTTGCATATATTGCAGCACAGGAGAAAGGACTCGAATGTGTAGCTCGACCTGTTAATCAAGTTCGAATTCAGAACAGTCGTATAAGCCCGACTACTATTAGCATCTGGTGTCTCGCACTCTGCCGAGCGTGCATTTTTTCAATTTTCACGCAGAGATAAATTACGGCGCGAATGACGTCTTAATGATCCGAAGCGATAAATTGACGATTTTGCAAGGTGCGTATCCGCGCGCTAACGAGCAGCACCGAGTCCTTTCTCGCTTGCAAATCGATATACAATGAGCCACGCATTGCGCTTGTATAGAGTAGAAGTCATTGCTGATTGTTTTTCTCCTTCTTTTTCTCTCTCGAGCGTTTCTAACATCTTTTCATATTACAATTTTGCTTTTGCTACCCTCGACACAATAGCGGACTCGAAACCCACCAAACCGGCAATCAAATCCTCGACTTTGCCGAGGATGTCTTCGCAAGGTAACGTATAGTCAACCAAATTTAACAATTCAGCTCTTTACTCTACGTATAACTGACCACTCTCTGCTCATCTCGTACACGCCTCTATCTATCTCTTTTGGCTATATTTCTGGTAATCTTTCCCTTTGAATTTTCCAATCCGATCATTTACAAAGACAAAGTCTGATAATTCGCGTTGTCGGAGACATAGTCGTTCACGCGAGGCGCACGACTAATCAGGTCGCATTGTTGACACGACAGAGCGAGACAGCAGGCATAAGCCAACTCCTCCGCCGAAACCAACGGCACTGGCACCAGGCCAGTACGTCTGCAGGGACCTCGCGCTCACACCCGAGATGTACAATCAGCTGAGAGGATTGCAAAAGAAGGCCAAGGATCTGCGCCAGGAGATCAGGAATCTCAGGCGAATGTCACAGGCGCAGGCTCACACCGTGCGCGAGACTATCCGGGACACATTCATCACCATCAGGTAAAATACCTCCTTGTGACCGAGGGGTCGCTGCTTTGGCCGAGGTGGCCAAAGTATAAATTGTACTTTTGAGGATGCTCCTATCGAAGCGTCTTCGTAGCGTACTAAGGCAAAGTGCCAGTTGGTGTCAACTGCTTGTTTCCAATTTCTAGGGCGATGCTCTTGTCGAGTGGCGATAACGCGTGGGCAAGCGGCGACGCAGAGAAAATCAGATTGAGTCGTGAGGAAGATTTATACAAGCAGGAGATGTTGTGGCTGGAAAAAGACCTGACGTAAGTCCCTGTCTCTCTATCTCTGCGTGAGAACAAGCTCGCAAGCTCTTGGTTCAACTTTATTTGTCTATTCGGCAACTAGCGGACTGGAAAGTACGGTGGAGGAACTCCGAGGCAACGTGATTAATCGTAAAACGCGAGTCAATATGTCAGACGTGGAGAACATGGCTCTGATTCTCAGCAAAGCGAGGTCAGTGTTTTTCAACTTTTCTTTCTGGGAAAGGCTGACGCAGGAGCGCGAGGCATCGCTGTCTCTCTCCTTCTTTCTTTCTCTCTCATCTGAAAACTTTTTTTCCTCGTGTACAGCAAAACAGTGGCAGACTTGAAGGTGCGCTTCCCAAATCTGCAGGAAGGCATGAAAGGCCTGCTTAGCTCGGAGATGGAGAAAGTTATGAGAGAAGAGAAGTTTTTGAAAGAGGAGCCCGATCGACTAGAGTCGGCGCTGAAACGCTGCAAAAAGTTAACCGGCACTCTCGTCACGCTCAAACGGTAAGGCTCCGGCTCAACTCGAATCGATCCACGTTCACCGGTGCAACAAGCTTCATAATCCAATTCTCGACTCCCAAGCCAACCCCCTCTTTCATGTCGCAGGCTAGCCTCGGTGCAGGAGCAGCGACTGCCGAACTCGGGCAGCGTCGACACCGAGGAGGCGCCGCCCATCACGCCCACCTCGGCCCAACACTCCAAGGTAAACAGATTTACAACTCCAGCCTGACACCTTTACTCTGTTGGATTCATTGAGTTTTCGTATTAATAAATGATTTTTTCGTTTATTTTTCAACAACAACAATAATAATCTTTTTTATTTTTAAACACTTTGTATCTCTCGTTATTGCTTTTACTTTCGATTATTCATACGATTGTGGTTCTTCCATTTGGTTTTCTTTTTCTTCTTTTTGATTTACGTTCGATTTTTCGTTCTATCTCTGGAAATCCCTATTGGTTTGCCTACATCCTCTCCTTTTGCCTACTTCACGCCCTGGTGCATGTGATATATACAAATCCAATCGGGCAACTTGCTTGAGTCAAACAAAACTTCAGTATCAATAGAAAGAGACGTCGACGTGTTACGAGAGTTTATCTCCTTATTATCACAGATTAGATTACGAATCTATCTAGAAACTTTAATTGCTTCGCGTATTGTTCACTATACCCAACAACATGGACATGCGTTTAGTGGAGAGAATAATCGGCAGAGGAAGAGAGACATAACAAATTACAAAAGAAAAACAATTTGTAAAAGATTTTTTTCGAAAATTTCAATATTTAGTAACGCGTTTGAGTCGTACTGTATTTATAATTTAAGTTTCTATTATACTTGGTTATGCTTTATCTTTGTTTCAAAGTATATTCGTTTTTGTACATACATATTACAAGCTTAAAACTTTCAGTAAGAAATATACTTGAGAATTATTGTCGAATGAAATTTCCTGTAATTATATATAGTAGGTCAAAATTGGTTTCTTTAAAATAAAAAAAACGAGTATGAAATCTGATGTAAACCTAAGCAAATGAATTGGAAATAACAGTGCCAGTGTGCTTTTTATGTTTTTGTGACAGGAAACGATAATTAGTAACGATTAACGAGTCAAGTAGTCGCAACAATGCTTTATATAATTAAGTGGGTATGTAAACAATTTTTGGTTAAAAAATTTAGTTGCAAGTTTCGTACCGTTGGTTCGTAGTTAATGCTTCGGTAGGTTACTAACTTCTGTGATCATATCATTTTCGTTGATTCATCTTCATGAGTAACATTTGGATTGTTAATTTTTATTGGAAAAAGATTCAATAAATAATAGTTACTTTTAAAGATATCAGATATTTGAAAAAGCTTGTTCTAGCAGACTAATATTCAACATTCATTTTAATGGTTTTAATCTGATTTATTCTTTTAGTATGGATTTTTGTTCGTGCGTCAAACTGGGATAAAGGGCGATTTATAAGCATTGATTATTTTGTAATATGTTCCTAGGTTTTTTATTGAATTTTTTTCTACCGTTGAAATGACAGTAAAACACATGTACTTATATGTGCACATGATTAGAAAACATAAACACATATTCGACACAAGAGGGTATCAATGATATATAATTTTTCTAAGACAGATTTCATTGAAAACAAAATCATTGACATATTTTATTCAGCGTCAATACATGCGTCAAGAATCAAAATTTTTGTTTCTTCAAAACTGTTTCGCAGACAATCAAAATCAATCGTTCAATCAGTCACTCGTCTAGTCTCGACTCTCTTTCCATTATTCTCAAACAAAGCAGCAAATAACCATCCCTATGTTCGTCGATGTTTTAATGAAATTCCTGCAACTTTGATATTGATGGTCAAGTCCAATTACCTACCGACCCCCCAGAATTCCTAAAAGAACTGTTGTGATGTTAACCGTCCTCGATAGAATAGACGTATAATTATATTTAGCTCGTGATTTGACAAAACACAGTTGACCTAAAATTAGGTCTTCAGTTTTGAATCTTATCAGGTGTTTGGTCAAATCACCCAAACTTAGTTGTCGATTGAGCGCAAATCAAAAAGTATTTACTATTGTCAACGCGCCAAGTGAGTTTAGAATATCATTGATAAAATAGAGCATAAAAGGACAATCTATCAAAGATTATAAAATATCAAAAACTTAAATAGTAACGATAATGAAATATGTTATAAATGACTTTATTAACAAAAGACGATGATGGTAACGACAACGACAAAAAAGGTATCAACGAAACTATTCTTCTTTTAAGATGCAAGTAAATGAACAATCTAAACGAATAATTAAAATAACTACATTAAAATAAAATAGATTAACGCGCTGAGGATGCATATGAGCGAGGAATATTAGATTAGTTTAGTGATGCATATGTATCTTATCGTGAATATTGTAGAGCGCGAAAAGAAAACAGTTATTCGATAAATTGTAATTCATGCATTTTTATAGTATGACTGGATGAAGAGTAGAAACTTCAAGGAGGCGATACAGACCAGTCATGAGTAAATTTTCCAGTTCTTACTTAATTCATTTATTATTTCCTACATACTATATATATATATATAACATACTTAAGCTCTTTTTTATACTTTTTCTTTATTGTTCGATATGTCTATTTCATTAAGTTTTCAATGATATATATTTATACATATTTATATATCCGTTTATCGTTTATCTCATGATCGAACTATTCTGCCAGAAGTTATATACTTTTAAACGATTGTATTAGCTTATTGTTTCTTTCTCGTACTCGAGGACCATCGAGACTGATTACATCTACAGGTTGTTGACGGAATTGGCGGAATATTTCGAAGTTTTGTACGACATACATTACAAGTTAACGGTTATAAATACGATTACGAAAAACAGTCACGACACACGCAGAGACACGTTACTACTAACAAATAGACGAAACTTTTCTTACGAAAAACATGCATTGCCGTTGCATTACCACCATTTATATATTTACGTACTTATACAAGTCATTCAACTTCAACGTGTTTCATAGATAAGCTTGCCACAGTTTTTTTGACCTATCATCAATGAATTTATTTATTTATTTTTCAACTTTCCGATATTTTCACTTACTCTTCAGAAGATACATTTTCAAAAGTACTTACAGTAAGACGGTTTTCGCCTTCTCATTTTTCTTATCTGTATATTCCTTGTATAGTTGATCGTCTACTGTGCATAATACATTGATCTTTTTGTAAAATTAATTTTTATTGAATACTTCGAAGCACCACTTACAACGAAAGCAGTACACTATTTGAGTATCGGTGCATTGATCCGACTTATGCCGAAATAAAAAACCTAGTTCAATGTCTCTCATACATATTTTATGTCTTCCGGAACTTTTTCTTATTTACTTGTTACTGAAGTTTATATAAATTAAAAAAATAAAAAAAACCAAACAAGCGCATCTTTGTGTGTGTTACGTTTCGCGTGTTGTGCACATTATATATTATAATTATTATCTGCACTTTTATTCATAGTTAGCGCGTTATCTATTGTAAAGACAAACTTGAGATGACGCTGATATATTTTCTGTTTGCTTTCAAAAATTATATTATCTATTTATTCTGTATTTGGAGCTCTATATTACCTTTCGTTCTGTTTGCGTATTATAATTTTCTACAATCGATCGTCATTCGTACATATTCAACTCTCGCAAAGTATACTGAAAAGAATTTTTCTTTCTAATTTAAAAAATATCCATTACTTTTACTCAAGAATCTGTTTATATTCCATATACGTTTGTACACGTGCGTTAAATTTGAACTTTATAAATACTATTGACTATATATGAAACATGAAATAATTCTGTACGAAGGCGTGAAGTATTGCTTCGCTAAAATAATTGGAGATTATACAGGACGTATCTAATAGAGATAATGTTGATGTTAGAGAGCATGTTGAAAGCGAAGCGTTCTTCTTGCCAGCTCTATATAATTTTTTCTGCACACCAGATCAGATGTATATTTTCATGCGTATTTGTACTGTTTACCCGTACGTGTATATGCTCATTGATATCTTTATACATCTAGGCTCTCCAATCCATTTCTTATAGTAAGGTCGATTTTTTTCAAGGTTTACATTGGATTTCCTTCGTCGCTCAAGGCTCTTCATCATTGTCAAAATACATTTCAAAAGTATTTTCACAACGAAAGTTCTTACATTTTTATCATAGAATGTCAAATTTATCGGTAAACCACTATTTAAAAATTCTTCTTTAACAAAGAAGCTGTCAATCAAGAGACGCTCCGTTATGTCGGCCCGTGTATACAAGGCAAGCTACAAGATTCGGCATGAAGATGTTCAATTGGCTCAATCATCTACGAATACGTGGTTCTGACTTTACTTGAATGACACACCCCTGTACAACTAAAAGTACAAAGAACTCTCGATTTGGTCAATGTCTTTTCGTAAAATGTATCACAATATTGTACGTTATTATGTATTTTACGAATATCATTGGTTAAATTTCCTTTTTTCCAAATTGTTTAGGAGAACAATGTAATTATCGCAAACGCTGTACCATCAAACACTAGACCACTATATCTTGCTGTGAAACATTTCAAATGTGTAAAATATTTTGTACGATATTTTCCAAAAGAATAGTCTAGTGTTTATTGGTATTGACAATAATGTACGTCGGACTTTGAGTTCGACGATGGCAGATTGTATCGAACTGTGTATGCGCTTCCCTCTCGTCGAGACAACCCTCTTGACAAAACGCATGTATGTACCTGGTGCGTCTAAAGGACGGTGAACAGCAAATCGCTTCCAACAAAACACATCTGCCTGAAGATACGATTTGCTCGCTGGCCTTTTCTGACGCCTGATATATCAAAATTAATTGCGAAAAACAGCCAAAAAACCATTACTATGCAGTCTGCATCTTTCGCAGACTAGCAGCAATCGTCATTTCGTTTGCTTTTTATCAAAAGCAATTGGCACAAGATGTACTTTATGCTCGTGTTGTAAAAACAAGAGAAATGATCACTTCATGCTTACCGTTGACCTTGTGGGAAAAAAAATTCTCCATTGTGTTGTACATCCATGCACATATCATACATCTAAATGTTCATTTTATTATCCATATATAAATCCATTCGTGTCTCGACTTGTGTGCTTCATCCATTTCATATTCCCATCATCTTAATACACCATATTTCATTTTTTATTTTTTAGTTCTTATTTGATCACATGTCGTTTCATTTTTGTCTTAAGATTTTGTAATTATCATATTTATTTTGATGTTTATCTCATTTATTTATCACGAAGACTCATGTATATTGTATAGTCACGCTGGTACTAAAAAGTATTTTACTCGTTTTCGACTTTCTCGTTCCATTTATTCACTTGCCTTACTATAAGGATTGGACTGAAGATTTTTGCATACTCTACTTTTTCATTTTTCTAACTCTTTGAAACGCTAATCTTTCTTCATTTTTTGTATCTGTGTACATTGAAATTTATACATAACACGAATACGCACTCATAAGTAGATAGAGTTGGCATGATTCGCTTTTTTAGTGTATAAGTATGCAAGGTGCAGCATGACACGTACCTATTATGATTTATTTACCACTACTAATGCATTTTTATAAAATGGATACTATTGTACTGTCCTATCATATTTGACGCTACTCTACGCTTACGAAATTTAAGCTCATGTCTAGTTCTGCTAATTTGGACGACTTGGCTAATTTACATTATTTCCTTTTCTACATACGCGCTTCCCCGTTACTTGCGATTGGCGTTGTTTGATCATCTGTTAATTGTTGCATTAAACATTTTTCTCTCATTTTATGTATAACTGTTTATCAAAATAATCCTTATTTTAATACAATTATATCGATACTTTCAATATCCAGGGAGTATTGGAAAAGCTGATGTGGTCTGTGAGTCAAAGTTAAAATACCATCGTATGCGATTAAAACAATTTTACTACTCGTTATTTACTCACGTTCTTATACATATCAAATATATTATAATTGTGATACTCAAATTTCATTGTATTTTTTCTATTATTATATATTGATGTAATGATCGAATAGAATATCTTTATCCGACGATCTACCTCGTGTCTATCCCTCTAAAAAGGTCTATCAACGCTTATCTATTTCAAATCGCACCATCAATCTTTCATAATTCTGATAATTTCACCACAAACAATGACTTCTTGAACCAATGTTGCACTTTGAACCTTTTAATTCAAATCTTTCCATTCTCAATTATTATGTATCTCACTGTATGATTTGGAGGCACTTGTTCAGGCCACAGTATTGCAATAACAAACAGAAGGACCAAGATTTTCGTTATTGATGTTACCTTTGTTAAACGTTTGCTTTTTGGTGTTTTTGTTTTTGTTTTAAGTTGACTAATACCGGACAGCGCTCGATGCCAAACGTAACAGAGCCCCAAACGGGCACTGACTTGTAATATGTACCACGTACAATACGTAACCTCGACGCAGGTAACTATTCCATCTAACATCCCTTCGTTTATAATGAGAACAAAAAAGACGTTTTTTTTTAAGTTTTTGTTTCTTCATAGACGTAGTTATTAAGCTTTTGCACAAAAGCACAAAAGTATGGCTCACCGCTGTGCCGAAAATATTATATCATACACTTGGACAATTTTTATTTTAAGATGATTTGTTTTTTCTTTTTTTAAAATTTGTTTTGCTTGCACGATTAATATTCACACGTACACACATACACACGTACATACGACACACACCCACACGCACATACACACACGAGTTCACAGTTTTGTTGCATGAATGTCAAAAAGTGATGTAACGTGGCATTGTTATTCCGAGACTAAAATTAGAATAATTTTGCATACTGTACATATTTACCTAAATGTTATATATACCATGTTTTAAACAATGTTCACTAACTGTAATTATGATACAAAGCACGTTATGTGATGCCCACTCATTTCAAATTTAGATTTGACTTTTTTCATACTAGGTCGACTCTGCAAGACCTTATAAGATATACTTTTAATTTTACTCTTCAATGTAGTAACAATGAACTGCTTGCAGAGTCTTACATTGCACGCACGCTGACGCACCAGCTGCCAGAGATAGTAGGAGATTCTTCTTAAAACGAAGAAAAAATTTTAAACGATGGGTGTGCCTTGGTAAGAGAAGACTATGGTCTCACTATTCTCTCTGGCAGCTACTAGCGAACGTGCAATGCGCCGAGAATCATCGGCGTGAAAATAAAAAAAAGATGTGACAAGTGCGATAGCTCGTCGACACGATAATCTACCTATGCCTGTTTGTCTGTCCGGTCGCATCGTCGTGCACGCACACACCAGGCCCCAGTGCCAGCGGAACGCTCTGTTGTGGGCGCAGCGCTCGTCTCTGGGGGAAGCCGCGAGCCTGCCGAACCACCACCACACGGCACCGGCGGTCATACCCAGCGTCCGGAGAACGCACTCGACGCTCTGCTAGACGAGCTGCAGACCTTCAGCCGACCCGCGTCGCAGCTGTCGCACGCGTCGGCCACGGGCCCGCCGGCGGCCGGCCGACCGCCCAACATGGCCGAGATCGGGCGCAAGGGCAGCGTGGACTCGTCGTGCGCGGGCGGCCTGCTGGCGCCCGGGCCGGCGGGCCCGCTGCGCCGACTGCACTCCTACCCGTCCGGCTCCGACACCGACGGCTCGCCGCCGCTGGGCCCCAAGGACGACGGCCCCGCGCTGAGCAACGGCCCCGAGCTGGGCCCGGCGCCACCGAAGCCGCCCGTGCCCGAGCGCAACGCCGAGCTGCTGCAGCTGGCGAGCGCGCGGCGCATGCCGCCGCCGCCGCCGCCGCGCACCAGCTCCCGCTCGCCGCTGGCCAGCCCCACCAGCCCGCAGCTGCCGCCGCGCGGCCGGCCCGCGGCGCCGCCCCTGGCGCGCGCGCTCTCCGAGAGCAACCACCGGCCGGCGCCCGCGGCCGAGCAGCCGCAGCTGCCCGCCAGCAACTCCAGCTCCTGCGAGAGCGTCAACTCGCAGGAGGGCCTGCAGAGCAAGCGCGAGCGCCAGGAGCAGCTGGAGCAGCGCCACCAGGAGCTGCTGCGCAAGCAGAAGGCGCTGCAGGAGCAGTACGCGCGGCTGCAGCTGCTGCAGCGCAACGCCTCGGGCGGCGCGGCCGGCGCGCCGCCCGCGCCGCCGGACCTGCTCAAGAAGACCGGCTCCGAGAGCAACCTGCTGGCCAAGATGGGCCTGGGCCTGGCGGCCGCCGCCTCCGGCTCGCTCAGCAGCCTGGGCGGCGCCAGCCAGACGCTGCCGCGCAACAGCGGCGCGTCGGCGACGGCGCGCGCGCCCGGCACCGCCGAGCCGGCCGCCGTCAACGCCACCACCACCGCCAAGGTCTACGAGACGGACATTCTGTGACCGCGGGCTGGCGATGCTGGAGCCGCCGCCGTCGCCGCCGCCGCCGCCGCCGCCGCCGCCGGCGATCCCGCCGGCCGCCCCGCTCGGCCGACCAACTACCTGCTGGTGTCGGGCGCCTAAGCGTGCTCGTCCATCGTTCGGGGCCCAGCCGGTCGCTCGGCTTAGTAAAGCTCTATCAAGCAGTATTATGATGCGTGCGTCGAGACTGAACAAGGGCAGCGGTCGCTCGGCCGGTGCGCGCCGCGCCGAGTGCTCGCCTCCGGCGAGATCGCGCGAGCTCACCGATGACGTAGTCGCCGATGCACTTTTAGAAATGCAGTGCTCCAAACAAGCAAACCTAAAGCTAATCACTCTGTAATCATTCAAAATGATGTATTTCATTATGATAAACGAATATTCAGGTTTAAACGGCAGTTTAAACGACAGTTGATGCAAGGTGAATCCTCATTTCTGGCTGTTTGACTCGTAGCACCAAAGCGTCACCTACCACGTACACCAAGCACGTGATGGCGCATCGTCCTCCCGCATCGAGGACGTTTACACGTTACATTGAACACACACATATACAGCGACTCTCATTCAGCACTCGTTTGGTTTGCGCGTTGAATGTGGCGCAACGAGCAGCAAGTTTTGCGAGTAGAGGAGCTCCTTTTTAATTGTGTGTCTGGTAAAGCAAAAAAACAAAATGCAAAATGTGCTGATATTTTCCATGGCTTCGCGTTAGCATGATTTTTCGATATTTCGATAACTTTTACACGGTTTCACGCAGCCATCGGAAACATTACCGAGAAGTCCGTCTATATATGCACATATACACGTACACATTCATGTCACGTGAACTCATGCAACTATAATATTAATTGTGACGCGCCTCGGACAGACGTAATAAATGTACGTCGTGGTGACGGTCGAATTATTTATTCAATTATAGACAGGGATAATCGTCGAGCAATTCCGCTTAGCGGAACGTGAAACAGCGCAGAGAAATAATTAACGATGCAAGTGCCGATTTTATGAACAATGTATTTAACTCATAGGGATATTATACGCATGTCGAAATGAAGATCTTTTTTACACGCGACGGTAAACTTGTCAGAGAAAAAAATGCAACGGGTCATTAACCGACTTAACTGATTAGTCACAGTCATAATCAATGCACGCACACACACACACACACGCGCGCGCGTAAACAAATAGACAAGCTTGCTAGAATTTTCGGAGAAAAAAAGCAACGTAATTATAAATTGTAGTCTTAGTTATCAAGATTGCAACGTATCGTTGAATATCTTTGACGAACAAAAAAGAATGTGCTATTCATTAAGCTTCTCGACAAAATTTACGCTAAGGTTTGCTTATCTCATCGATCTATTTGAAAAAAGTAACAGAGTTTTTGCAAAATGTTAAACGATATTATTGTATAACAAATCTTATAAACATGTGTTTTAAAGAAATTTTTCAAAATGATAATGTACACATTTTCTTGACTATTTGGGTGCCGCAAAACCAAATGTATCGTGCTTATATCCCTTTATATCATATATTTGCTGCGCTAGTAATCTTACATCTTGTGTTTCTATTTTGAACGAAAAAAGTCTTAGATATTTACATTGTTAATGTATATACATAAGTTGTTATACATCTTACGATGAAAATAAAAAAATGGATTTTATATATAATTAGATAAAGGCTAAAAAAAGTGATGCATGCAATTTTTATTACAAAAAAGAAGACCTTAAGACTCAACTTGACAAACTAACAATCATATGAATGCCAAAATATAAAGTTTATAAAAATGTATAACAAATAAATAAAAAGTAAATTGTGAGAAGAATTTCGTAAATGTTACTGGCAAACTGAACTAGAATTTAGGTTCAGACTTTCTTAACTTGATGCGGCAAAACATTTATACATCACAAAATAGCAATGCACTCCTTTGTATACCTTTATAATATATCGTACACAGGCTCGAAACCGGAATTTCCAAAGTAGAGGATCCAACGCAGGCGTATAAATATATGCCGATCGACAATTTTGTTATTTGTTATATGTACATATATGTGTGTATACAGTCAATTTTAACTCGGTGTGTATAATGTGTACTTATAATGAAAATGGCGGTGATCTCGGGCACACATTTACTGTTTCATCCAGAGCGTTGATTTTTCACTAAGTGGCTATATATTCACGTATACCGTAGACTTTTATAAAGTTGTAGCTCAGTTGAAATCCAACCAAAGAATTTTTTCAATTCAATTTATGCAGATACATGGTTGTATAGATTGATAAGTCATATTCATTTCAATAATTGTAACGCCTTTCTTCAATATGATTCAACGAACATTACGTCAATCCTTGAATAATTCATTCTGTTTTTTTTCACCTCTGTTAATTAATTGCGGTAGCGCAACTTTCACAAAGGAAAACAACTTATCCGTCTGTACTTTATAATTTACATTGTGATTCGGTGCCAAAATCTGATAACGAAGCCACGCGTGCCAATGTTAGCGCATAGAACAGACACACCCACACAGAAAAGATAGACTCTTCAGCCAGTAGAGCTCTAGAGTTTATAGAATGAAAGTGGCCCTTAGTAGCTTCGTTTCAACACATCGGTCTAATAATTAGTCTTTTTGCCTACGAATAATATACATTGACTGTACATGCATATGTACATATATACACATTCGCTCATATGTAGTACAAGAAACAAGCATACTGCGCTGGAGTATGGATACCTTTTTTATGTAAATATATATTTGAGGTTTTCGGCAAATGATAACTTTTTTATGATTTATCGAGTAAATTTGAAATATTTTTACTACTGATTACCGAGAAAAAAAAGAAGAAGAAAAATAACGATATATCCCTCCGCAGTCTTTTTCGATACAAAGCCGTTATTGGCTTGGATTTACACGCCCACGAATGTGACTTGGAGAGTTAAGAAAAAAGATAAAAAAAAAAACCTTTTGACACTCGCAGTTAAAGAAGTTAATACATGAGCTGCGAATAAAATGGAAAAAGTCTTTGATATAAACTTTATAATTAATCCAATTAGTGTCGGGAGATAAATTTGGTAAAAAGAAGAGTTTGCGATAGCTGTATGGAGGCGTGGGCGAAAAAATAATCAGTCGGCTGTCGCGCAGTACTATGTCGTCTGAATGATGAGTCTGTTCCTCGTCGAGGCTTGTGCAGCTGCTGAGGAGCCCCTGGATCATTTCACTCCATCCCTCCCACGCTGCCCCCTCCCCCCCCCCTAAACTATCTCTCAATCATGCGCGTATTATTAAATGTAAATACCCGTCGTCTATCGAGAAACAAAGAAGAAGAAACTGTTTTCACGGCCAAGCGCAATCCACACGAGACTATTAGCACACACACGCACACTCACATATACATCCAACACATGCAAGCCATCGTCACTATCTACGCTAAGTTTCTCATGTCGTTATTATACGATTACTACTACTGCTACTATCATTAATAAATATACTATGACTATTGCTACTATTATCATCAATTATAATTATCTAGTGTAATGTTTCCCGATGGTCCTGTACGCCAAACTGAATTGACTTGTTACATTTGTAAATGTTTGTAAGTAATATAAAATAAAATGATTAAATAACAATAAATAATAATAAAATAATTGAGGCGTCATTGTTAATTCGCTCTTCGAGCTACTTTCTTGTTAGCGGTATTGGTTAACTCTACACGACGTTTTTTATGCTACGTACGCTTTTTAAATACGACATTCTTCAGCTGAACGCACACGGCTTCGAGTGCAGTGCGGTATACAGATTAAGGACTTTCCTCGAGCAACGGTATTCCAGCATTTCCAAACGCAGCCGAACGTTATTATTCTCCACTCGGTTGATGGACGAAGTAACAAGCTTGCCTAGAGTTCTCTGCGGACGAATCCCTACGCTGCACACGGCATACGGTTGTACAACGAATTTCGTCATTGTCACCGGGGCCAAAGTACTCCTGCCGTCGATGACTCCTTTTTGGCGCTCGTCGTCGCCGATTCAGTTCGCACGGTTAGAGAACAGCGTCGAAAAGACGAAGCGAAGGAGGCGAGGCGGAGAATAAGAAAAAAGAAAGAAAGAAAGAAAAACGCGCAAAATGCATCTGGCCGCGCTGGAATTTCAAGGATCGGCTTTGGAAGACAACGACGCGGCTCGTGAGCGTTTTCGCGGCGCGCTGCAGAGAAACATTTTCGCATGCTAATGGCCCTGCCGAGTGTTTTTGACTCGGCAACACATTTATGCAGCGATTATATCTCGAGCTGAATTTAGTGGAGCTTTTAAGAGGCGACACAGCCGGATTATCGATTTTGCGGTACCGCCTGCGGTAAGTATATATAATTGGCCAGCCCACCTTTCGTATCAACGGCTTAATGGCAATGAGACTTACAGGCTTGTTGTTCCAATCAGAGATACACTTTACCTGCTCGGTAGATTGTAAAATAAAAAAATAAAAAATGCTTTTCCCGTATCGGCTCCTACGCTACTGCTTATTTGTCACGGCGGCAACTGAAAAAGCAGTAATTTAATTAAAACAAGCGTGTACCATGCCAATTTGACAATCAAAGTAATACTGGTATTTTACCGTTGCATGGGTCAGGTATTTGTAAAAGTATTGGAGGCTTCGTTGCTTTATCGACTTTTCGAAAGTAGGAGCGATAATCGTGAATTTTGATGCGCTGCGATTATTACACCGTCTGTCCATCTTAGATTGCTGAAACGATATGCCGAAGAGTGAATCTCTTAGAAGTTGTGCGCAGCGAGCCAATTATAAATTCATCTAAAAGAGGAACACCTTTGATAAGACCGTAAAATGGCTCCTATTCTGAATTTATTTGCCAAAATTAATCAGATGAAAAAGAAAAAAACTGGTGCCATATTCCGCATACGAAAATTTAATTTTCTGTTTCTAAACATTGTGACATCGCCACCGAAATGTCGTAATGCTATATAACGCTATTATCTCACTGGCTTTAATTTTTGTGCTTTTGCGCAACCGATAAATTTGGTTTTACAATTGTAACGCCGTTAACGCGGAGAGCATCGACGAGAATAACCGTAGTGCTGTTTGCGATCACTGCATCGCAAGACATTGCTTGGGAAGAAAAAGGCGAAGGGTGAAGATGAGCGCGGCAGTGGCAAGTACGGGCAAAGGATCATTGAACCGGGCAATCACAAGTGAGGCTGCCGAGGCGCGCGCGTAACGGATAGGCTGGCCGGCCGGTATAATTTTGAGGAAGAGCGCGTTGACGATCCGACGGAGCTCGTGCGAGAGGAGGAGAGGAGGGAGAGCCGGAGTGAGAGAGAGAGAGAGGGAGAGCTCAGTACTGGCTTGCCGCTGCCTGCTGTTTCTCCCTTTATTTATTCCCGCGTCGTGGCCAGTGTCGCGTGCACCGTCCGACCGTCCGCTAAAATTCGCCTCTGCCGAATCCCTTCACACTTCGTTGCGTCGATATGAAGCCCACACTCTTCGCGTAAGTACTCGCCAACATACGCTTTACAACTTAACGCGAAAAACAATGAAAGAAAAAGAAAAAGAAAAATGCTTCTCGAGTCTCGCGCATTCCACTGTAAGAGTGGCGAGAGAAGAGTCCGTACAAGGCAAGATGCGCGCTCGAACAATGTCATTGGGAAACGCGCGTGCACGGGAGAGATGGCTAGATGAGAATTTTATACAGTCCGAAAGATAGAGAGAGAGAGCGTAGGCTTCTTGTCGTTACGTCACTCTGCTCCGCGAGATATTATACATATACGCGCTTTCGCGATCGCACTCCGACTTTCTAATGTCCCGTCGTACGTTTGCGTCTGCGTTTGTCTGTATTATGCGGGTGATAGGCGTTTTTCGGAAAATCAGATATTCACTCGCGTATACATACTTATATATACACATATATATATATATATATATATATATATATATATATATATATATATATTGTTTCGCGGCTGCTGTAATAGATCTGCACAACAAGCGTAGTTATACAGGTGAAAGTCTGTTGCTGTTGACCGAGCGAACGACCGACACAGCCTACGTGCATTTGTAATTTCATACGCGTGTGAGATAACGATTTAGGCGCAAAAACAAAGAGAGAACGATTCCTTCTTTTTTTTTTTTACTCCCAACGATGCATATTTTCGCGTCAGGGTATCCGATGATTACGTAAAAATAGAGATCGCGGGGGCCCGAAGAGAATTGAGAATTGAATTGCCATCGACGACAACGCATCTCCTCGAAATTCACGAGTCGCGTTGCGAAGTAATATCACGTATGTCGGAGGATTGCTCAAAAGCGTCAAACGTATCCACGACCAGTTCGCGCAGTCGCACTCGAAAAGTCGACGGTGAAAGATGAAGAGGTTGGTCGGCGCAGCATTGTTGGAAGGACGTGCAACGGGGCGTCGTTCGCTCTCAAAGAAAGCAGGCGCGTGTAACTAACCTCGGGCTCGCGCAATATCGCGACATCGCGATATCGGGACCAACTTAGCCGATAGATATGTCGGCGGGGCGGTTTCCGCACGTATGCGCGGCCAATCAAATCAATTCTGCGGGCGTCTAACATTACACGCGTACACTTGCGTAATTTGTCTTGAAAACTTTGAATTCGCATACGGTCAGTGCCGACAATGTCGGGTGCGCGGTAACTGATCTATTTGGAAGAGAATCGCGCGTCGATTGGAATAGCGCCGGTCGCCAGCCGAGGGAGAAACTGCATTGCGAGCCGGTCATGCAAATCGAGCCGCCGATTATCAAATACGATTCCGATTCGTAATCGCGGAGGCGAAAAGTTGTTTGGCTTGGCGCGTGCCGTTACGCGCCAGTCGACTCCCGGATACGAAAATTGGTCGTCGGTGCAGCCGATAACGCGCTGACGAAGCTGAGGCGCGCAGAGAAACGGAAGAGTTGGCCGACCGTAAAAATGGCGCGAGCGTGGCGTGCGAAGGCCGCGAGCCTTTGCCCTTCCGACAGTCCGTAACCGAGAGAACGTGCCAGGCGCGCGCTCGGCTCCGCCTCTGGCATTCGCGATTTTCGTTTCCCGCTCGTGTGCGTTCCTCCGGGCGCGCGCCCCGTAGCGATACAGAGCGCGAGCCATTGCGCGACGGTCGCTTCTTCGCGTCGCTCGGGAGTGCGCGGCTGCGAACGAAAGTCGACCGACGATCAAAGTGCACGCTCGTGTGAACAGGTTGGCGGCGGTGTGCCTTGTAACGGTGTGCTACTCGGCGGACGGCGACTTCGATTACGAGGAGGAAGAGTCAGCAGCGGCAGCGCCCGCGCCGCCACCCGCCAAAGCCAACCACCCCAAGAGCGCCGGCAAACTCGGCGCTCTCCTTTCGCCGAGAAACCGTGGCGCGGGCTCGCTCGCGCCCAGGAAGTCGCCCGTCGCCGTAAGTCACTCGCTCCCCCCGCAGTCATTACTTATGCGGCACTCTTTCGCGAGACGACGCGATGCCAAGCCACTTTTTTCCTTTGATTTGCGTGCAATTTTCTTTTTTCATGCTCCTGGAATTCCTTCGTGCAACCTTGCTTCTGTTACAAGTGTTCTTTCTTTCTTTTATGATTATAATTGCACCCCGTTGAAATACATGAGATTTATGCATTTTCATCGTTGTACGCGCTTTTGTCAATAAAAAATTACCCGCAACTCTATGCTTCCGCTGGCTAATTAATAACGGACAAATTATGAATTTGATCATCGAAATGAATAATTTGTCGGTCACCGGTTACTTTAAGTATTCGTTAACGCGGATGTTAATCTTACAGGCAGCGGCAGCAGCCAGTCCAAAGACAACTACGACTACCGAGGCAACGGCAGAGTTAACCGAAGAAGACTACGAAGAAGGAGCCGAGGGAGAAGAGAAACATGAAATCGTCACTACAACCACTGAGGCGCCTAAAAAGAAAGGCCGTGGAGGTGGTGTCAGGCCTTTCAGGTCAGCTATCGACGTCACAAACATACAAGCAAAATATCGCGAGAGAGAGAGAGAGAGTAAAACACGAACGTAATGCAATCGAAGCTTGCATGTTATTGTACTACTTGAACTTGCTTGATAGTTTTTTCATCGGTTTCTCCATTGGTACATCTCGAGTCCTTGACACGAGAATAGATGGAGATAGTGTCAAGATGTCTTCTTGAAACCAGCTTTACATACGAATCGAAGAACATTTTCAAAAAATGTCTATCAATCGCTTTCTCGTAGAGAAAGTGCATGTAAAAACCTTTCGGTTTCTTAACGCGCTCAACAAAAAACTTTTCATGTAATTAAGCTTAAGTAATTTATGTAACTAGGATATGTATTTCCATCGCTCTGCAATACTATCAAGAAGTTGAGTTGTCACATTTCTCAAGAGTCAGTCGATAAGAAAATTTGGCGTATCGTTTTCATCGAAAGCAGCTTGATTTTGTCGAATTAAAATAAAATCAGCCTTTTTCGCTTTCGTATAACTCGAGAAAATAAGAAAAATGAATAAGTTTTCAAGTGTATACGTCTTTTCACCATCCATCATGAATTATTAGGTCGAACGAGGATTTGTTAGCGGCACTCAAGAGGCGTCGAGCACAAGGCCTGTCAAGCATCACTAAAGAACCCTCGTCAACTCAAGTTCCTACAGAAGCAGGGCCGTCAAAATCTAAGTACGTAGACTTGTTATCTTTGAAACGTTCTTCAGTATTCAGAATAATACTGTTTGGAAGCTAATTATCCTAGCTAACACTCCGCCAATCAAGATTACTTGCATTCACGTACGTATATAGTTTTGACGGAAACACGAAGAGAAAACTTTCGTATGTACCGAAGCAATGACTTTCTTTCATACAAATTGCACGGATGTACAGCTAGAAATCCATTCACACCGTTGATTATTGATTGTAAAGTAACACGAAACAAATATCTATTTAAATCGATATGTGATTTCAACGCAAGTCAAAGCATTGTAGCAAATTGTTGGTAAAATAATAATTAAAATAATAACGATGAGACGCAATGTAAGAATAAGAAACACGTGTTTGTTTCAATTACACTTATTTCATTTGTAGATCGCAGTCCAGCTCACGAGCAAAAACTAACGAGGTGTCGAAAAGCGCAGGCCGCGCTTCGCCAAGATTTGGCGGATCGCGCAGCAAAGCGGCAGTTCAAGAAGAAGCCGAAGAGACGAAAACCGAAGACGTGAAGGCGAAGCCATACCGAGCACGGGGTTAAGCGTAATGCCGTCAATGCACTGTCGATTTTAATGCACAAAGGATATCAAGCACTCCTGCATAAGAAACAACGTTGCCGAAGATTTTCTTGTGCAAGAGCGAAATATTAATTCTACCCCCATTCAAGCTTGTTGCTTCGTCCTCTTCAACGAATATTTCATATGTAAGGAGCTTGCATTTCATTGTTTAATGCATTTTCAATTTAGTTGCTGGATGAAAAGACAACTTGCAGAGGCTTTTACTTGATTAATACTTTTTTAACAAGCGAACAAGTTGATTCTGTGCCTACAAGTATTTTGTAATCGTTTAAATGATAAGCTTATGCGTGAATTCCTTGTATTGAGCAATCATTGTCCGTAAAACATTCAATTTTCATTCGCTTCTTTGTACGTGGAAAAATTAAATGAAACTCAATTCTGAAAAACAAAATCTGCGAAATAAAAACTTGGAACAATGCGAAATCTCGCGCACCGTGCAATACTCGACTCTATCGTTAAGTATATAAGATATTACACAAGAATTGCTTTGAAAAATGTTATTTAGCTGTGTTAATTTTAATATATTCATGTAAATATTTCCATATTTTGAATTTTTATAAGGCTTCGCAATCTACGCATTCGATATTGATATCAACTGGGATATTTCCTTTATCATTTTTGTTTTACGACAGAATAAATCACGGAAAAGTTCTTGTTTCTCAAGAACCACGTTTTGTACAAAAAAGAAGAAGAATATGTTACGATAAAGCCAAATAATTTTCATCATATTTCTTTTGCATTAGTTATTCATTATGCAACCGAATTTCCTGCCGAGCAACCTGTTTGAAAACGTTTTTCTTCAACGAGATAAAATAAAATAAATAAGACAGAAATCGGTTTATCCGTTTATCGCATTACGATTGATAAGGACACAATAAGTAGCAGCTCAAAATTCATAACCGAGTTTTTCTTAATGGCATGATATCTCACCTTAAGACTGGTAATCAGCTTTTGTTAACTCTGGAACAGACAAACACAGCAGTCTGGGCTGCTCCGGACTTGAGCACAATGAAAGGGCGCAAAAATATCCTTTCAGAGGCTGTCTGAAATTTTGATGGACTTTTGTTGGTCGTTACGATCGTTATCGCGACAATGGCTAAAGCAATTCAACCGATTGGCAAGCATAGCCAGTGAAAAAATGTCGAGAGCAGCGCGCAATCGACAAAACGAAACAACATCGAGTCGAAAATTAAATTTTTGCAGCTGACGGGTGTATTGTTCTACGTGCAATGCGAGAGAGGGAAAGAGAGAGAGAGAGAGAGAGAGAGAGAGAGAGAGAGAGAGCAAAAAAAGGCGGTGCACGTCAGGTCACGAAGAGGAATGTCCTGGGTGAACGGCAGGTCGTAGAAGAACGGTTGAACAAAGGAGAATAGGTGGAACTATCTCCGTTGGGGGGCGGATTCGAGAAAGAATAAAAAGAGAAAAAAAACTGCGCCTCGCGAGCGTGGCCCAAAGAAGCTGTGTCTCGTCGCGGTCGCGGCGAAAGTGAGCGGTTCTAAATGACGGCGCCTCTAAGCCGAGCTGCTTATGTTACCGCGGCCTTGAGCCATCCAGGGCGCACCTTCTGCAGCCAATTCGCTCTCTCGAACTCACTTTCGCCGACGACGGCTGCTCGCTCTTCGTACGTATCGCGGCTCTTCTCCCTTTATTACCTCGCAACACTTGACCTTACGGACTTGCGCCTTTCTGACTGTTCAGCTCAGCCACGCGACTGGCCACTGTAATCGACTTGACGCGTCGTCTTGGCCGCGGACGCAGCTCGCCGTTGCGAAAGTGATTGCAGGATACCTCTCTTTTTCTTTTTCTTTCTCTGCTTTTTTCGTTTCTTATTTTTCTGGTTTTTTTTTTTTTTTTTTTGTAGAAAGAGCCGACATCGGTGTGTCGCACGTTCGCGCGCCTATACATCGAAAACAAAAAGATTCCCGGGTGATGTGCGACTTTCGTTTGCCTGCAAGCCTCTCGCGCCGCGCGCACATTTCGTTTTCATTAGACGCACACGCGCCCCGGGAGTGTCGCCGTCGCCTTTGGATCGACTGTTCGCGTTGCGACGCGCTCAAGGCGTGTCGCGATCGCTCGCCCGACGATCCGTGGAGGGTCTTGCGGTGAATGTCGATTTGGTCTTCAATGGTACAAGGCGGCTAAGAAATCGGACGTCGAATATTGCGAGACATCGAGCAGCGATAATGGGCGCGTTCCGCTCGGTAAAGTGTCAAAAATCAACGAGAGGGTATATTAGCAAAGAGGCCAGAAATCGAAATCGTAATAAATCGGCACTTCTATATTCCAATGTTGAACGTCGCAAACGAGACAGATAGAGGAGAAAATTATTAACCGGGAGAAGTGAAAAGTGCTATTCAGAAGGAGACTCAGCGTCTCCGGATAAACTTAGAACCGGTCGGTCGGTCGGTCGGTCGGTCGGTCGGTCTTTAATGCGTCGACGACCAAGTGGAAAAGCTTCCTGATTAATCGCGCGGCGCTTTGAAAAGAAAGAGAAATATCGGCGAGCCTGTGCAGCCGCGCGCGCGAGATATCGAAAGTTTCGCTGCCGCGGCCGCGGCGCGATCGTCGCTCGAAATTTTACGGCTCGTCGTTATGTATGCCGCGAGCGAAGGCTTCCCGTACGCTCCGATACATCGATCTTCCCCGTGAGATATACGACGCGTCCATTGGAAGCTCCGTCGCGGAAATTACGCAAGCGCGCTCCTATTTTATTCGCCGGCGTAATTAAGCGCGCCCGATGGGCTAATTACTCGTTTTCGAGGGCTATATCCCGTCGCGTCGCGTCCAAGTTCTTTTACAACTCAATACTTCGAGCGCACTTTATTTCAAGTAATTACGCGATGAAAATTCCAGATGGAAAAGTCGCTGGGACATTAAGACATCTCTTGTCTTTCGTACAAGCGTTGCGTTGCCATGCTAAAGCAAAAGAACTTTCAGCTCTATTTCCATCATTAGTAAATAAGTCTTTTACGGGCAATATTTTACGTTACACGTTACGAAAAAGTCGGATTTGAACGGGAGATTAAAATTATAGTTTGCCTTTTAAATTGGTCATAAAGTAAACGAGCGATTGTCATTTTTGCGAGCCTAAATTGTAGGAACGCGAGGCCGAAAAAAGAAAATGTGCAGCTCGCACGGGCACACGGGAGACGAGATTCTATCGTGCAACATCGGCCGCGCGCTTATGCATTCGTCGATGTCGGACATCGAGATCGTTCGTTCCCACAGGTACTCGCGCGCGAGAGATCTGGGGGTCGAGTCGGGGGGGGCAGGCGCAAACGAAATGCCGCGTCGGCTAAATTTAGCAAGAGCGGCGGTGGCGGCGGCGTCGGCGTCGTCGTCTCGTACGGAGCGAAAAGCCAGCAGCTGTACGGCAATTAGCCGCGGACAAACGTGGCGCGGGGCCTCGATCGGGCGGCAGCGAGAAAACGCGCGGCGCACCGGTCATCCTTGATCGGCACGCTCGCGCGCGGCATTCCCTCGGCGGTTTCTCGTCTTTTTGCGCTCGGTAGCCGAGCGCGGCACGCCGTTGCTCCGTGGCGCGCAAGCCGGACGTCTGACCGGGCGCGCAGCTTCGAACGGCTTTCCAGCGCTCGCTCGCGCCCCGAGTGCCTCCGTTCGCGTTTCGTCCGCGGCCGAGCATTCGCTCTCCGAAGGCATCGGCCGCCCATCCCTCGGCTCTCGAGTGAAAAAAGCCGAGCGAGAAATGGATTGCGGAGGAAAGGCGGTAGGCGTGTGTACGCCGTGATGTTTCGAAAGGCCGCGATACGAAAGAGTCCCTTCGCTCTGTTCTCGTGACTCGGCGAACAAAGCGAAGCGAGCGCGCAGCACGATTAGAGGCTGCGGTAACGGCGACGACTGCTGCGGCCGCGCGGACGAGCGCGACGAAACGCGGTCGCAGCGGCGGGCCTACCGTAGGACGAGTACGAAGCGCAACGCCTCCGACGAGCGCACATCTACGAGTAGATTAGAGGCCGCGCGCGTTCGTTCTTTCTCGCGCTAATTTCGTTGGTTCGAAGCTATCGAAGCAATTACCGGGCCGCTTATATAAGCCTTTTACGTGCCGTTATACATTCTAATTGAATTATATCTGACTCGATTGTGCCGGGCTTCGTCGGGTTACATCCAAGATTTCCGCTTGAGCAACCGCGCGCTCTCTCGCGATCGGCGCCTCTCGGTTAGCGCTCGACGCGAGGGCTCTGCGTCCTTGCCCACCAGCGACGCGGAAGCGCGAGTCCCCCCCGAAAGGGCAGGGACGCGCGTCGCCGCCCGCGGTTGCGTCAGAGAGCTCGCGCGCGGAGGCTGCCGCTTACGTGTCCAACGAGAGCGGCGCGCGCCGTCGTTAACGTTCGCCGCGATTATTTCCTACTTTCGCAATAGCGCCGTCGCTGAGAGACGCGCACCCTCCCACAGCCAAATAGGACGTGCCTATCCCGACTCGTTTCCCTCGAGCGACCTCTCGTCTTGCCGCTTATCGTCGGCGAGCCTCGCGCGCCAATCTATTTCCACATGCTTTTCAGTTATTCATACGGCGAGCGTCGCTCGTTGCGAAACTTATCGATCGTCGTCCTCTTGACGAGCGTATGGGCATTTTTTCTTCGAGCGCTCGTTTTATATTCGTTACGCGCTCGTATGGATTCGCGCGGAGAAGACCGGTGAAAAGTAGTCGCTCGTGGAAAAGGTGCGCGCGAGTTGCGTAATTAGGTCCTATCGAGATGAAAATTCTCTCGCCGCGGAGTCGGGCGCAATATTAAAAGATCCAATTTGTGCAGCTGAATGTTCGCGGCTGCACGTAACATGGGAGAACGAGGAGTAGGCCCGCGTCGATCGGCGCAGGCGGGCTTGCTTATCGTCGCTTCGAAATTGGAGGGAATCGGCGTCGACGAGGCGCGCTTCGCCCCGAAGCATCGTCGTCCGCCTCGCTTGCGCAACGTCGCCGCTCCGGCAAGGAGCCCCCACCGCGAGAGCGGATCATCGGCTTCGCCCGCGACGGCGGCCGGGTATTATCTTCGCGCGGTCGATTGCGCAAAGGCGCTCCGCGCTGCAGCACGCGAGGAGCCGGCTCTTGGCTCCCCCGCGCCGCTCCGCGAAGAAGACCTAAGCTCGCCGCTGCACGGGATTCGTGCGCCGGACTTTCTCCGTGCGCCAGAGCGAAAGCGAGAAGAGCTCTCGATATCTGGCCGGCTTACTAGGACAACGCGCCGAGCCGCGGATCTCCGCTTACGCTTAATCAGTTGTACGCTCGTTAGCGCGCTCGCCGACTAAATTTTCATCGAT